GTGCAAGTTCCCTTAGGGAAAGGACTCATCCATTCTGAGTTCCCTGAGGGCTCTGTTGCGTGCTGAACTCTTGAGTTCTACATAATGGTTGCCCATGGTCTTTTTCAAGTTATCATCAAGTAGATTGATTCATGATGATCCCATGTGTGTTGGAGTAGAACTGTCCACCGGGTTTCCAGTAGCTGATATTTTAGAAACGGACTCCTGGCCTCTCCCTGAGGTGCCTCTGGATAAACCTTGAGTCTCTGACCTTTTGGTTAACAGCTCAGTGTGTCAACCCTTTTACCACCAACTCCATTCAGGGCACTAGAAGTGCCATTTGGCTATTCTGTACTAGTGAAGATACTCTGTTATTGACAAGTGTTTTTCATTAACATTTCTCACCGTAGGCATCCCGTTACTGATGCTTGGTTTAGTGGAAACCATCATTGGGAATGCGAGGAGTTCGAGGCCCACGATCATTCAGTCTCCGGCCTTTCTCTTCAATTATTACCTTCCATCTTCAGATGTCCAAGGAACATTGTCAGAAGATAAGCCCCTCAGGTTGAGAGGCCTTATACAGTGAAGGCAACAGTGAGCTTAAGTGTAGCAGAGGATGGTGCAGGGTTGGGCGGAGTTTCAATCTCTTGAGTTTACTCTGTGGCACCTAACAATATGCTCTAGATAGTTGTCTCTATCTAGAATTGCTTGGACGTGAGGAATAGTCCTAGGGCAAGCACTAACGTGTGACCTTTCAAGTGTCGCAATAAGGGGAAGTAAAAGCGTAATTTACCAAGGGGCTGCTTCCAAAGAAAGATGAGTTTAAGGATGGCTCCTTCATTAGTTAGATGGTCATAGGTTTTTTCCTTTTCTTTTCTTTCTTACTTTTTTTTTTTTTTAAGTACAGAGATCATTGAGGCAAGAGTTTCTACCAGTTTTCCCTTGAAGAACTTGGTGAATTTGAATGAAGCTGCTTCTTACCTTGATGAATGTTTCACCTTGTTTTAAAATAAAGTCATTATACTACAAAAGCAAGAAATGATAAAGAAAAGGAGGAAATGGGGATTTATGTTATGATGTTGTAGATGTTGTGTACTCTCAAATTGTAACCAATTCATAGCTGACCCTCCAGTGGGTTTTCTGAGACAGTAAATGCATTTTTCTAGCGAACCACTCGTGGATTTGAACTGCATGCCTTTGTATCAACAACACAATTCTTTACCATTAAGCCACCAGAGTTGGCTTCTTGCATCATTTGTGTTAAGCGATTGGGAGATGCTTTGTTTCTTTTACAACTTTTTTTCCACCAACTGTTTCATTTCTATAAAAACAATAACAAAACCACAGACACACAAGTCTCAAACCCTCACAAACAGAAAGCTTTTCCTGGGAGCAGAATTAACAGTAGACATAGAATGTCACTGGGGGTTTGTTGTGCAAGGTTTGAAGAGTATGGAGAAATTGTTAAAAACAGACCACATGCTTAAAAGCCTATCTCACCCTGAAGCCACAAAACAGATTTTGCATGTTTGGCGGTTGTTTTTTGTTTGTTTGGGTTTGTGGAAAGAGAGAGAGAGAGAGGGAGAGGGAGAGTGTGTGTGTGTGTGTTTTAACTTTCTATTGTGATTTGGCGAGAGAATGATGGGCAGTCACCTCCCATGTGATTAACTGCCTCTGAAAACCTGCCAGAGGGTTACCTGTTGTTCAGTTCCAGCTACATGGTACACCACCACCACCACCACCACCACCACCACCACCACATTATTGTGATTTGAGCAAAAGCTCACAGAGCAGAATGGTTTTTCATTCCGCACCTGATGCATATATGTTTTGAGAATTGATTTTAATCCCTACACATAACAGCCAACTCTGGTGGCTTAATGGTAAAGAATTGTGCTGTTAATACAAAGGTATGCAGTTCAAATTCACCAGCTGCTTTCTAGGAAAATGTCTTTTCTGTCTCAGAAAACCCACTGGAGGGTCAGCTATGAATTTATTCCAATTTGAGAGTACACATCTACCACATCCTAACAGCATACCTCCCATTTCCTCCTTATAGTTATCATTTCCATTCCCTTTTACCCCCTTATCTTTATCCTTAGCCTTTCCTGCCTTCTGAGCTTTATTCTTGAGCAAATGTTCCTCTTTTTTTCAAGAGTTGATTTTTCTAGGGCATGCCTACCCCTATGTTTTGTTATCCATCTTTTAGGTCTGTCTTATGTTTGGCTGAAAATTGAGCCACAGTGATGAGCTCAGTCCAAGTCATGGAAAGTGACTTAGGGGGGAGATATATATATATATATATATATATATATATATAATTTCTCTTTCTATATAATTATATAACTTTGGCTCTTTTACCCCAAATAATCCCAGACTAACACCACACACACACACACTCACTCACTCACTCACTCTCTCTGCTCCCCCCCAAAAAACCCCAAACAGAACAGTTCAACCTTAGATGAGATTTGCATACAAATGTGATGTTTGGCAAAGTTTTAAAAAAAATTGAAGTTGTAAGTTTGGCCTCTAGGTGACCTTTCATCTAATATTTTGACTGTTACTGAAATGAATGCTAGGCTGTATGTGCCTACCTATAGTTAAGGAATTCCCCAGCAAACTGTAGCACGCCTGTGTAAAGAGAATATTCCACATGGCAGTTCCTTGTGTTAAATGCCTCCAGGAAGGTATAGCAGTTCCATTGAGAAATTACAAAAATACATGTATGTTTGCTTAAAATGGAACCTTCCTACCACATCCACCAAACTCTTCAGGTGATGACTAGAACAAAACCCCTTGATTTGATTATAGGAAAAATGAGGGGAGGGCAATTCTCTTTGCACATATTTGGATTGTTGTTAGGTACCGTCGAGTTGAGTGTGACTCATAGTGACCCTCTGAACATCACACCTGACCCATGTCCTGTCCTGTACAATCTTCCTCATTTTTGAATACTTGAGCTTATTATTGTGGTCACTGCATCAATCTGTTTCGTTGAGGGGCCTCCTCTCTTTTGCTGACCCACCACCTTTCCTTTCCAAGCATAATGTTCCTCTCCAAGGAATAGCCTCTCCTAGCAACATGCCCAAAGTAGGTGAGATGAAGTTTTTTCAACCAAAGAGTAGTAGTCCAGCTGTACTTTTAAAGGACATATTTGTTTGTTCTTTTGGCGGCCCATGGAATATTCAGAACTCTTAATATCATAGCTCAAAGGCATCAGTTCTTCCTTTGTCATCCTTAGTCATTGTCCAGCTCTCATATGCATAGCAAGTGATTGAAAAGGTGATGGCACCTTAGTCCTCAAGCTCAGGACATCATCACTCCTCAGTAATTTAGTGAGGTCCCTGACTATAGACTTTCCTGATACTATATATCTTCTCATCTCCTGACTGCTGGTGCCAAGGGTGTTGAATGTGGTGTGAATATTTCCAAATAGAAGAAAGTATTTTATTTGAGGACATGTAAAATATAGAGACTGGCTTTCTAAACAAAGAGCTCTGGTGGTGCCATGGCTAAAATATTTGGCTGCTAACCAAGAGGTCAGTGGTTCAAACTCAGCAGCCACTCAGTGGGAAGAAGGTGTGGCAGTCAGCTACTATAAATAAGCTCAACCTTGGAAACTCGCATTTCTCGGCACAGTTCTTCTCGGCCCTGTAGGGTCTGTGTGAGTCAGAAATGACCACATGACAAGTGGTTTTAGTACCTTGCTAAAGCACAAATGCCTCTTTCACTGTATGTTGATCTATGATTTTTTTTTTTACGCACGGTTTTTATTTTCACGATGACATCTTACTGGTCTTTCCCTCGTGAAGTGATGTTTGACCTTTGTGCATCCCGTTTTGCCCAGTTTAACCACAGCCACCGGCAGAAGTTAGGATTCTGTATAGACTGTAAGTCAAACTACCAGGTGGTTCAGTGCACATTGTAGAGCTGCCCTAGCTGAGCACATTAGTTGGTTCCTTGCCTTCATCTGCTGCATTTTTAACTTAAGATGACGAATAATCCTTCCCACTCTATCTAGTTTGTTTTAATTGATCGAGCAAACACTGCTTGTTTGAATTTAAACAGTGCATCTGCAGAAGTACCACTCCCTGCCTGCCTTGTGTGTTGAATAAGTAGCACCAGTTAAAGCGTTCCGTCTGTAAATGTAGGAGGCCCTGTGTGGTTCATGTGCTTGAGCCCTAGGCTGCTAACTGCAAGGTTGGACATCTGGCTGCACCCAGAGAGGCCTCAGGAGGAATTCTCAGCAACCTTCGAAAAGGCCCCAGCCACGAAAATACTCTGAAGCTGATTCTGCCCTGACACACATGGTTACAAGAGTTGGCATTGACTCAGTGACAATTGGGTTGGTCTTTGATTGGGCTTCAAATATAGATAATTCTTTAAGCAAGCTCTGAGAAAAATCTGGAGAATGAAGGGGAAAGGAGATTAATGTTGCCCATAATTCCCTGCTGTGAAGGAAAAAGATGAGACATTGGCTCTTTTGTTTGTGTTTGTTAATAGTGGGATGTGCAGATGGTAGAAAAATCTCACTCAGATTAACTAAATCTCATCTTTTAAAATGTATCTTTTCAACCAGCACTTTGCCCATTTAATTAATTTTCATTACATAGAAGGATAGAACCATATATGGCTTAGAAGCCAGGATAGGAGGATATTGCCAGAGGAAAACTTAGATTTAATATATTGATAGCAGTGGTTATGTGACATGCAAGCTTTTTGTTTGAAATAGGGTAGTTGTTTAAACCATTTTCATTCATTCACCCTTGTCCCTCCTCTTCACTAGAACAGACCACAGGGATTCATACCTATTGTCCTCATGCAAAGGAGAGCTCTACTTAACAAATGCCAAGGATCTGAGCATCTGCTGGGCTACTGGGCAGAGGGGACAATCCAGGGCCTTCGGTGCAGTGGCCTTTCGCTTCTTGGCCCCTTCGATTTCACACTTCCTCCCGCTCATGCCAACATTTCATGGTCTTTTCTCCCCCCTCCCCTCTTCTTGCCCTTCTTTTTAACAGCAGGAACGAATTTCATATACACCTCCAGAGAGCCCGGTGCCGAATTACGCCTCCTCGACTCCACTACATGTTCCAGTGCCTCGAGCGCTCAGGATGGAGGAAGACTCGATCCGCCTGCCAGCGCACCTGCGTGAGTGTTCAAACTGCGAATGTTCGAGTTGGCGCAGAGGGAGGGAGTGAGGGAGGGGAAGAACAGACGGACATGGGCTGACGATGGATGGAAGGAAGGACCCCCAGAAGGCTTGAAAAGTGCTGGACTGGAGACCTGGCAGGGAGAAGTGTACCTCAAGGCCAGAAAGGGACTTCCCTGGGGATTGTTTACTTTCGACTTTATTGCCTTGTGTTTATACACCTTCTCGGTGTGCCGAAAAACTCCCGGCCCCTTGTTTCATAATGTATTCATTTCATCTCTAATTCCAAGATGTTTCCAAACATGTTGGCTTAATGTGCAGTTTATATCAGAAGCAGCTGCATCTCCCAGATGCCAAGGTGACTTTGGGAGGGGGCAGAGAGAGTTTTACTAAGGTCCTATTCACCGCCCCCCCCCAATTAATGTTTGCATCAGCTCTCAACCTTGCTCCACCGGTTCTCCTCCTCCTCAAGCAGTCTCCTTTCCCCTAGGCTGGCTGCGTACCTGGCTGAGTCCTTTTTTGACCCCCTCTTGGTCTACTCCATGCTCTCCCCGCTGCTCCTGAACATCCTTTGCTTCAACAGTGTCAGTTTGTAGCATTTCCAGTTTGTACTCTTCTTTCCTTGTGCTGCCCCCCACCCCTGGTGGTAAAATGTGATTGAGGCACCTGATTTCCCACTCTGATCAAGTGTTGAAGGAAATGCCAGGTTCTGGGGCTTGACTGCTTCCCTCGGGGCCCATGGCTAGGTTGTGGAGTACACTGGGAGATCATCTGGGCCCTTCCCTAACTGATTCCCCATAGCTGAGTGTCATAGTGGGGTTTGCCATCTCTTTCTGGCAGTGCACCCCAGGCTCTCATGTCCAGCCCCTCTTCAGAAGCCACAAGGATGCTTGTTGGATGTAGAGAACAGTGGGAGAAGGAAGGATTCAGGTTCCTCTTTTCTCACTGTGTAAAAATTTACACTGGGTGTGGCCTCAGGCTTTGTCTGGCAAGCGGGTAAGGCTTGACACTGTACTCCGCTGCACCCTGCTCACTTCCTTTTACTGTTCTTGCTGCCCACCATCCTGGCGGCAGCAGCAGTGGTGGCCATGGCAAATGAGAATGACTGGGAGGGGCTTTTAATACGATGTTCACGTAACAAACAAATCACATAATGTGTAGGTTCACAGACTATGTCATTGATGTGAAGCAACTACATTTGCTGAGTTGTCACATGCTATGGTCAGTCCACTCCTGCTGCCCGTGGGCGGGAGCACGATCTTCATGTTCATATGCTAACATTCATGCTGTCTCTAGAAAGAATTTATTGGTAAAGAAGTGACTAATAAACTGACAGATGCAGGAATGAGCAGAAGAGCCATAACCCTTGTAGAGCTTACATTCCAGTGGAGAGAGATGGGGGGAAAAGAAATCAAAGCAAACCTGTGAGTGTTTGTGCCTAACAGACTTTGGTTTCTTTTTGTAGATTTTTATTCCTTTTTGTGGATTTTTGTTTTGAGATGCCCTGTGAGGAGGCCCATACTCCTGGTTTCTCTCAGAATGCTTTTATGTCTGCTAGTTTTTACTGGGTTTTTGGGTTTGTTTTTTTTAAACCACAGTCTTGCCATAAAAATCTTATTATGGTAAAAGCAAACAAGACAGAATTGGCAGTCAGGAGACTTTACTGGTTAACTAGTTCTGCTGTGAACTAGCCCTGTGACTGTCGGTCAGTCACTAAACTCAGCCTTCCTTCCATCCAGTATTGTGATAAGAGCATCTTTAACATTAACATGGTTTCATTACATTAAACCTTCCTAACATTAAAATGGTTTCATTACCATCCAGGAGTCACCCTCCCTACTCGCAACTGTTTCTTCGAGAGTAGTGTTTTTCTTGTCTAGATAGTTTCCTCATTGAGCTTACCCCTGTTTTTACCAGACCCAATGATTGTGTGCCATAAAGTTGCCATTAGCTGGATTCTGACCCAGTAGCATAAGTTGCCATTAGCTGAGTTCTGATTCAGTAGCTCTTTGTACAACAGATCGAAACCTTGCCCAACTCTATGTCACCCTTACATCTTTGCTGTGCCAATTGTTGTTTCGAACAAACAAGAATGATTTTTTGTTACCATTACTGAATATTTCAACCAAGTATTTCAGAGAAGAGTCTTGTTCCAAAGCTGGAAAATGTATAACAGAATTTAAAATTTTCATGGACTTCATACTTTCTAGGGACTTGAGAAGTAGATGAACTTATTGAACTAGATTAACTTCTTAAACTGTTGTCCTGAGAGAATCTTTAAATTGAAATTTGAAAATAGTCTATGAAGTCATCTTAAACGCAACCAATAGTTTAGCCAATAATGATTTTTTTATTATGGGATCACTTCTTTTTGTTGCTATATAATACATAAAGAGTTTGTTGTTGCTGTTAGGTGCCATCGAGTTGACCCTGTGAACAGCAGATCAAAACCATGCCGTGCCTTGCACCAGCCTCACAGTCTCTGCCATATTCAAGCCGATTGATGTAGTCATTGCATCAGTCTATCACACTGAGAGTCTTTCTCCCTTTTGGTGACCCTCTTCTACCTTTTTCAGCATGGTGTCTTGTTTTCAAAAACTGACCTCTCCTGACAACATGCCTAAAGTATGTGAGACAAAGTTTCACCATTCTAGCCTCTAAGGAGCACCCTGGCTGCACTTCCCGTAAGACCGATTTGTTTATTCTGTTGGCAGTCCATAAGGTAGATATTCAGTACTCTTTGCCAACACAAAGGTCTCAGTTCTTCTTTGATTTAGAGTCTTCCAAACATCCATAAGAATTTAGATAATTTAATTAATTTGCCATGGTCTCTCAACTATGGAGAGGTCTCAATCATGGGTGTTACTCTAGAACCCAAGTTCTTAGGCTGTTTACCACTAGGTAAGTATGTATGTGGTAAATTGTTTTTAGATGAATGAATGAAAAATACCACTTAGAAAAACAAAAAACAATCTCTTGGCCAGTATCCACTGATGTTGGCCATATCCACTGCCAGAGAGCTGGTGCTGACTCCTGATGACCTTATAGGACGGAGTAGAACTGCCCATTTAGGGCTTTCAAGGCTAAAATCTTTATAGAAACTTTTTGGAGGAAGACTCATCAACAACTCCCGTTATGCAGATGACACCACCTTGCTTGCTGAAACTGAGAAGGACCTGACGTGCTTGCTGCAGAAGGTCAATTACTAGAGTCTTCAATATGGATTGAAGTTGAGCATCAAGAAGACAGAGTTTCTCACCACTGGGCCAATTGACAGCACCATGACAGATGGAGAAGAGACTGAGGTTGTGAACAGTTACAGCGTGCTCATCTCCACAATCAACACTCTTAACACCAGCAGTCAGGAAATCAAAGGACAAATTACACTGGGAAAATCTGCTGTCAGGGACCTTTCTAGAGTGCTGAGAAGCAGTGATGTCAGTCTAGAGAGTAAGCTGAGTCTGATCCAGACCATGGTCTTCACAGTTACTTGCTGTGCGTCAGAGAGCTGGACAATGACTAAGGATGACAGGAGACGAATTAGATGCCTTTGAGTTGTGGTGCTAGAGAAGAGTCTCGAATATATCATGAACCACCAAGAAAACAAGTAAGTCTGACTAGAAGAGGGTGAAACCAAGTTTCTCCTTGGAGGGTACGATTTTGGAGCTCTGTCTCACATGCTTTGGGCACCTGGTCAGGAGAGAGCAATCCTTGGAAAAGGACATCATGCTTGGAAAGTTGTACGAATAGCACTGGAGAGGAAGACCCAAATGAGATGGATTGATACAGTAACTGTATTAGCGGGGTTAGGTGTGTTGAAGTCAGTGAGACTAGCTCAGAATAGGGCAGGCTTCAGAGCTGTTGAACATAGGGTCACTATGGATGGCAGGTGACTCGATGGTACATAACAACAACAAGTGTCACATTGCCCTTCGAAAGAGTGGCTGGTGGGTTTGAACTGCCAACTTCTTGGTTAGCATCTAAGCATTTTAACCCCTGTGTCACTGGAAGTGTCCTTGATGATGTTCATAACACTTGTTTGTGGCTGAAATCTGTTCTAACTTGTTAATCATAGCACTGTTGCTGGGTAGATGGACCTCCATTATATAATTATCAGATATAGGGTCATAGCATGTTATGGCTAAGTTTAGAATATGGATTATGGATTCAGATCTTGGAGAGGATTTTGTCAGAATGCCTACTCTGTGGCAGCCTAATTTTAGAAACCTCTCCTTGGTAATTTGCACAAACCCTGTTGTGACACCGGTAGTTCTGACATCTGGAATGAATCCTCTGAAAGTAGAGGTTCCCAGGCTCTTGCTGTTTGTCCTCGGTTGGGGCTTTCCAAACAGAGGCTGGGCCGCCCTGCTCTCTCTCCTACCCCAGGGCTCAGTCACTCTGCTGCTTGAGAAGCATCTCATGCAGCCCCATGATTGTGGAGGCTGAGCTATACACTCCAAGAAGCATCTCAGCTGGATTTCCAAACCTAAAAGAAAATAAATATTCTAACAAGGGAATTAGGTTATTGCTGTTTTAATCTGGAATTCCAGACAGTTCCCAGTGGAATGCTCATGGAAAGTACGGGGAAGAATCTGAACACCAACCAGCAGCAGGACATTTATGGTATTGCTAGGTTGAAAACATTTTTAGCTGCTTGTTTTAAAGAGATACCAGACTGGTCTGTCTCAGATGTGCTTCTTTTCACCATTTATCTGCAGTAGTTGCTAGATGAACACTTCTCTTTCTTAAATATATCCTTTCCCATTACTAGTGAGCCTGTTACGACTCAAAGGGACTCAAGTGCTTAACCAGTGTGTCACTAGGTTTCTTTCTGGGTGGAGTGTAGGGAATTAAGGTTCTCCATACTGAAGATTTCTGATGGTTTTGTTCTACAAACATACTACCATGTCCAAACTATAAACACAGCGTGATAAATTAGCAAGCTGTTGAGAAGTAGAAAGTGATACCTCTTCCTTTTGTTTGCCTGTGATAAAAACAA